AAACTCATCCAACAAACGAGTCCTAAGAATCATTGGTAACTTTTAACGCTTCAAGAATGATAACTTAAATTTAATTTTAAAAATGTATTATACAAAGTACGAACCTTATTTTCGTTTTTCATTTTTGCTCTTCAAATAAACTTGCTTTTTTGGTTGTAAAATCAAAAACTATGTTGATAGTATCTGATATCTCCTGTTCACTTATTTATTCGTGAAGTTTTTACAGTGCTGATTTAAATTATCCGGACAAAACGAACAAAACTTGAATTTTCAAACGCGTTTTTCTCAAATTGGGTTAAGATTAGACAAAAAGTAAAGAGAACAAAATTTGCTTAGAATTTCACCAGAATTAATATGGTGCCAATTTTTCTCCAAAATTCTCAACAAAAATTTTACCCCAAAAATGGGTCATTTTGGCTTTTTTCAATTAATCAAGAATTACGCGGAAACTACTTTGTTAATTGATGAGAAAATTATATCACAGGAAGCCTCTTACGCAGCTCAACAAAGTTTAAGAAGGGTTAAATCTCCAAAAATTATTTACTATCAAGTGATAAGTTTTTCTCTTATACTGGTTTTTGGAGATTTAACCCTTCTTAAACTTTGTTGAGCTGCATAAGAGGCTTCCTGTGATATAATTTTCTCATCAATTAACAAAGTAGTTTCCGCGTAATTCTTGATTAATTGAAAAAAATTAAAACGACCCATTTTTGGGGTAAAATTTTTGTTGAGAATTTCGGAGAAAAAATGGCACCATATTAATTCTGGTGAAACTCTAAGCAACTTCTGTTCTCTTCACTTTTTGTCTAATCTTAACCCAATTTGAGAAAAACGCGTTTGAAAATTCAAGTTTTGTTCGATTTGTCCGGATAATTTAAATCAGCACTGTATTTCCACATCTTATAATTTTAACCATGAGTTATCGAACCAGCCAGAATTGGTTTGTTGCGAGCAATTTCTTGCTATCAGCAGATAATAGAATGAAAGGCTTGTTGACAAAACTTCCAGGAAACAAAATATATGTTTTGTGCATTGGTATGCTTCCAATTATAATTGGGATTAATTTGGATTCGGGTGTTTTTTCATCGAAAATTGGGCATTGCTAAGAATTCAGAAAGATCAATGTTTTCACAAAAACCGTATGTCACCCATCGGTAAAAAAACCATCGCTGAAACAAATGAAAGCTTTGCAGTTACAAATAAAAAAGAATGGACAACTTAAACTTAACAAAATTTGATAAATTTTTCTAGTTCAGCTCTCAAAGGTTTCATTTTGATAATTTTGATTGACAATATGCTAATTGAATATGCTAGCGTCCATTTGGAATTTGACAAAATGCAATATGCTAGCGTCTGTTCTAAATGAGAAACATCAAGAGCTATATCAAGAGTCATAGAGCTATATTACTTGCACGATAATTATATTCTTGCCACAAACTATGCTTAAATTGAGTTGAGTCCGACTATGTCAACGAGTCAACTTTAATTTGTCTACATTAGATTTCCTGTAGAAAGTTGTATTATGAAAAAAATGCTAAAAAATAAACTGAACATGACCCTTTTTTAAACGAGAGAACTTTCGGACAACAAGAACGCGTCATTTTAGATTAAAGTGAAACTAATTTAAGATTGAGTTTTTCTAGACCTTTTCTCAGCGTTTTGGCAATCAGAGCAAACGACCATTTTTCCTCAATTTCGATAAACTTTTTTAGCAGACATCTAGCTTTGAGTTTTATTCCGAATTGAGCGATTCATTCTAAGAGGAAATAACTCAAGATTTTGAGTTTGATGACGTAAATCGAAAAACACATCTGACCAGCAAAAAATGGATCCGACTTAGACTCTGTTATAACTTCCCATTAATTAAAATGGAATTTATGCAGAAGGACTTTCGACGCGATAACCAGACCGGTTTTTGCTGTGAATTGTTTTATGACATTCTAACTTTTTCAAATCGTACTTCCCTATAGTATCCTTAGATTATAAAATACTTATTGCCATTCTATCACATAATTCAAGCAATTGAAACTTACCCTATCCAACTCCAGAATTCCAAAAAAAAATTTTTTTTATGTGAACAGATTAAAGAATCATAAAACTTAATCAAACTATCATTGCTGCAGGTCAGCAAAAAGTCAATACCATTTAAAATGTACCAGTTGAGTTTTGAAATGATTTCAAAACATGAACAAACAGAAAATTCAATCTTGTTTTTATCATAGAATTGTGCTGCGGTTATTTTTTAAACGAGGAACAACCATGAAGTGCCAAGTTTTTTTTAGCTTGCTAGATAATCCAAGTGCTTTGATATGCAAAGTTCAAAAGATCGATTCACTGCAAGAGATGAAATAAAAGGCTTAACTCAAACACGAAAAACGAATTTGAGTAGATTGGTAAATAAACCAGGTAGTATAGACCCATAGTAACAAGCCAAGGCGGCACTGGGGTCCAAATGAGATAGAAGGAAAAGTCTTTGATATTGGCCTCTTCCACAACCCAAAATCTCAGTCCTTCGCAACAACCGGAACGGCAAAAATTTACACTGCTATTATTGACTGAAATTTGCTGAACTTTAAAGTCCTGTTGTTTTTTCTGCACGAAACGACTTGCATCTGTACAACCAGGAAGTATCTGCGTGTGCCAGTATCGAGAGGAAACTGTATTGTTATCTCGGTTTTTACAGTTTTTGCTTGTTTGGGACCCCCAATTGGAACACTTCAAGTGACCTCTTCCATATTTTGTTTCTGTTTCTTCATGACCATCGATTACAAGTGCCTTCCGGTAGACCTCAAGGACTTTGAATTGGTTGTTGATTGTTAGTCCAACGAAATACGATAAAATGACTGAGCTTTTTTTTTGTTCTTTCTACATGATTTTGAAAATTGTGGGTTAAAAAAAACCTGTTAATAGTGTAAGCATCCGCGTTTCAGGCTCAAATTGCGAATGAATCTTTTAAACAACTTGCTTCAATGAAAGACTTAATTTTTGTCCAAAAGTTTGGATTTAAATGAACTAACACCTGCTGTTTTAATGCTGATTCCAATTAACTTATTAGGAGAAATTATGAATATTATGGCAAATTGGCATGGGATAGATCGGCATAGCGTATATCGGCATGGGGTAAATTGCTATGTAGGGTAAAATGGCATAAGACAAATTGGAATAGGGTGTATTGACCGCTACGTTATCAAGTTTAGCCAAAAGGGTAGGCGAATCAAAACTCAAGGTAGCTGAATCAAAACTACTGCTGTTAATTACTCTTTCTAAACAGAGGGAAAACAATTTAAAATGAACTTTTAGCTAAAATTCAAATCAACTTTTAAATAAAAAATGGAGCCCCTCGAATTCACTCGTGCGCTTTGTATTCACTTTTACTGCTGGAGAACATTTCAATTTAGTTTCAACAAACTAAATTGAGATCAGTTCTGTGATCGATCAACATTCCTGAAAAAACCAATCAATCAAAATCAACAAAAAGTCTCCACCGATATGATTGATATTCCGAGTTCAAAAAAATGTAAACTAAATGATGTTTTACTTTCATATGAAGCAAAATCTGCAAAAAAAGCCAAGGATAGCCGGTTACTGTGCAAATAGCACAGAATGATCCGACAATAGTCTGTATCGAACTACAAAAAAAAGTTTTCATTTCAAATTAGTGTAGTTTTTCTGCGTGGTATGATACAAGGATCTGACGTAAAACTATAATACAGACAAATTCGACAATCATGGTAATGTAGGCAAACAAGACAAGAAGAACAATAGGGAAGAAAAATGACAAAAAAAATCATAAACAATTTTTTAAACATTCAATTTTTTTTTCAGATTCTTTTGCAGAATTTTTTTGGCAATAGAATCTCCAAAAATTTTGTGAGTGAAATTAAAACACAGACGAAAGAAAAAAGTATAAATTAGTCTCAAATTAGTAAAAATTCAGCTGCGCATCGCATTAGAACCTATGGCCTACGGCGATTTTGAGATTAATAGTCTCATACACTAACCACTCAGCCACGGAGGCCTGATTCATCATAAACACTAGCCACAAAAAAAGCAGAGAGCAGATGCTATGCAATTTTCAAGGCTACAAAACACGAGTTATTTTGCTTGCGAGTTAGGTCAGAAAAAAAGAAGGTTTCTACTAATACACTAACGCTCACAAGCTGGCTAGTGTGATTAAGCAGAAATAAGCTATTGTAAAGGCCTAAATGAAGCATAAACAAGCTTGCTTGCTCACTTTACTCTATCTAATTTAGACGAAAATTCACTAACCACTCAGCCACGGAGGCCTGATTCATCATAAACACTAGCCACAAACAAAGCAGAGAGCAGATGCTATGCAATTTTCAAGGCTACAAAACACGAGTTATTTTGCTTGCGAGTTAGGTTAAAAAAAAGAAGGTTTCTACTAATACACTAACGCTCACAAGCTGGCTAGCGTGATTAAGCAGAAATAAGCTATTGTAAAGGCCTAAATGAAGCATAAACAAGCTTGCTTGCTCACTTTACTCTATCTAATTTAGACGAAAATTCAAAAATTTCACACCGAATGTTCTCGGCACTAGGAAAAAGTTTTTGATTTTTTAAAATTTCGTTCGAATCACGACTGAAAGAGCTTTTATATGATATATCACTCAACTCTCTCTCTCTCTCTCTCTCTCTCTGATGATTATTTGTGGTAGCTGATTTTGCGTGGAAAACAAAAAAAATAATAAAATAAAACAAGAACACACCCGAATTTTCAAATGGTCGGAACAAAAAACGACGTGCTTGGTCACTACAGAGGGTAACGTAAAACCAACAAAAAATAGGTTAAATTACCAAAATCATCCTGCTTTTAATTAAGCGACAAACAATCAAAATAAATCCACCACCTATCAGACAAAGAGAGCATCTAAAAAATTCCGTCTCATTATAGCCACTCCCACCCGGGCAGCTTAAAATTGTAACCTCTCCCTGCAAAAATAATTAAAAATTGGGCGTTTAAAACTTACTCAGGGGAGGATGGGGGAGGTTTGGGAGGCTATAATGAGAAAAAGCAAAATCGCGTTGTACACCAAACTAAGTACACTCAAATCTCAGCTCAATTAAACTTATTCTACCTAAACTATCTATGCTTCCAAAATTCCAAATTTTAAATTTTCCGGTTAAACTGTTTCTTTCCAAATTGCTGTCATAAAGAGCATACTGTTCTCTTCCTGTGTCCGTTTGTTATCATTCAGTCAGACCAGTTTCTGGCGGCAGTTTGGTGACTCACACATGCACCATGTGATCTGTTTTTGTCCATATATAGGATGATCTCTTGCCTTATGACCTCGTTTGACCTTTTTCAAGTTGAACTGGTGCTCGTAAGTCAGTTCTTCGCCTGCTTTGATGTTTCTGCCAATAAAATGTGTGAAAAAGTATTATAAACTTCAAACGACTAATAAACCCGGGTCGCGACTTTAAGCGATCAGACTTTTTATGCAATTTTGCAGACTCAAACACTGGGAGCGACTAAACAATTTGGGTCTAAATCTGGATTCGGCGCAGTCCTCAAAAAAATAAGGAAATCACTCTTATACTGAGCAGTTAACAGCTTTGCAAGCAAAAAAATTCCAACAAAAATACATTTCTGATTTTAGCTTTAATGGAAGTTATAAATGTAATTGTCTTTCAGTAGTTTTCTTTTTTAGTTGATTAATTTCAATTTAACCTTAATGTTTTTTTGGACTGTTTAACAGCTTTCAATTTTCTGGTAAAGATTTTTTATCGTTGCCCCAAACACTTTGCTTAAATTTTACTTTGGCACCATGTGTAGGCCTTCTCCTGGCGGCCATGTATACGACCAACAAATATGTTGGTCTAGTTAACAGCACATTAAAGACACAGTTATACTGGATTGTTTTGCAATTTGCAACTCCCAACAGTTTTGCAAGCAAAAAATCCGACAAAAATTTAGCTTTGTGGTAAGTCTTTTTTATTAATTTTAATTAAATTTTTCTGATTTTACGTTGATTTGAATGATAAGATGTGTACGCCTTCTCGTGGCGGTCCTGAATATGATCAGAAAAATGTTACCTAACAGCACATTCAAAATGCAGACATACTTGATTATTTTGCAATCTGCATCTGCATTACTTTTATGCAAGCAAAAAAAATCCGGAAATAATTCCAGCATTGAAACTGCTCGAAACTTTTATAATGCACGACTCATGTTGCGACTTTGCGCGACTCATGTTTCGACTTTGCTCGACCCATGTTGCGACTTTGCGCGACCTATGTTGCGACTTTGCGCGACTCATATTGCGAATTTGCGCGACTCATGTTGCGACTTTGCGCGACTCATGTTGCGACTTTGCGCGACCCATCTTGCGAGAGCATAGAATTTCGGTCGCAGAAAGTCCATTTCGGCTACCTATTTTGGTCGCAACACTAGTCGTAGACCTCGGCCCGGCAAAAGCGCCAGAGGGGGGTTTTGGGTGGAAAGGGGAGGGCCGTCCCTTTTCCCCCCTAAATTCACTACTAGGTACCTCAGTGTGTTCTCATATCAAAACGTTTTCAGTCGCCATTCAGATTCGTGAAAATTTATTCAAAACATATCTGCATCAAAAAAAGCGTCTCAAAGTTTGATAATTAGAATCAATATATAAATGTGGGGATAGTCGACGAAATGAAAAAAGAACGAACGTTTTTCGTTCAAGGCACTTTTTATTATTGATTAATTTAGTGACCAAGCCTACCTCTCCCCAATTTGTCTCATTCTCTCACAAACTGAAAAAAAAACACTTAATTTTTTTAATTTAAGAATTTATTTTCAATGATAATGGAGTCGGGACATCTAAATACTAACAGCAACCGATTACTCTCGTTCCCATTGTTAGAAGTTCAGAAACCTTTAATATGGTTTCCAGCACATGCTCTAATTTACTTTTCACATATAGCTGAAACTCGGGAACATTATAACCTGACAGTGAACGAATCAACCGAAGCATAAACTAGCTAAAAATGGGCAGACTATTTAAACCAGTCATGTCAAAAGAGTATGAAATCAGCCAAAGAGTGCGTCAATTAAGTGAAACTTGCATGGCTTTTATAACTTTTACATAATTGTTATGTTAAAGTCTAATGCAAGAATTCCGTTTATAGATGGTAGGTGGGTTTTTATATCACCTAAAAGCCCGCCTCATTTCAGTTTTTGCCGTGATTTTTAAATATATTTGACTAGTGCAAACTGACCTTTTGGTGAAGAATGCAATTTCTGGGAATCGGGTGTCTCGTACCTCGTGGAACACTGGCTGCACTACCAAGTTTGGATCACAAGAGTGCTAAAATAAACAATGAAAAACACTGGAGCCAAATAAGGAAGCAGCTCTGTGGAGACAAGCACAAGATTCTGCAAGTAATTAAAGCAAAGTTAGAGGTGAACTAATTTACGCTCTTTGAAGCACTTCTATAGCAAAATTGGACTTAGTAATCGAACATAACCGAAGTTTTGAACGCACCAGCTCATCAAAATTAACCAATCTCCTCTCATTCAAAAATAGAGCCAAAGCCAATCGGGTTAAAGAGGAAATTGCAGACCCCGTTGCTTTTTTACTCCATCAATTGACGCCACAAAAACCACACAGAAACCAATCAACGCATAAACAAAGATGGTGCAGCGTAAAATTCGATCATCATGATGATGATGATGTTCCATCGACATAATTTTCATAGTAATATTTGTACTAACATTAAAGAAACGGCTGATGCTGGCGTATCGTGAGTTGTCAATGTAGAAGAAGTCTTTACGACCTCCTGAAACATCAACCATTTATTAAACCAAACAATTGAAAAATTTAGGTAAAAATCGATTAAATATCGGTTATAAATCATCGCAAAAAAATGATGACAGAATAAATTGCCATAAAATGGTGTATTTTGAATGAAAATTTCGAAAAAGCGATTATTGATGCAGAAATTAGAGCAACCGTTTATGTAATGGGCTTCTTTTTTCTGAGTTAGAATTTTCTTCAGATTAGTTAAAGTATCATCTTCTCTGTCAAAGACTGCGTCAGATTCTTGATGTTCATTACTGATACTGTCTTCTGGGTCCATTTCATCAAACGAGCTAAAACTATCAATTTTGAAATCTAAATTATAAAATAATAAAAATTTCCCAAGCAGCACCCTCAAAAAAGTCGACGAGTTTAAAATCTGAAATATTTACACGTTGGATTTCAAGCCAATTTCGATAACAAAAACAAAGTGAACTAAAATGAAAAGAGACGTAAAGTCAAAACGCCAAATAATATCATTCTATAAAAACGACCTGCTCTAATAGTTCGCTCAGTAACACTGAACATTCGAAAAAGAGAAAAAATAAGTTTTTGATACCATGACCAATGTTCATAACCAAACTTTTTTCCCGCTTTCATGAATTTGCTGTCGCTTTGAAGAGCTGCGCCATGCGTCGCCCAAAAAAAATCAACATTTCAACAAACAATGCTGTTCAAATTCAAATTAAGCAAGCGATCATAGGATTCAAATCTCTAGGAATCAAATCTCTAAGACTGAAATCTGTACTCCTGTTGTGAAATTATATGAGACTCTTGGACTTTTGTTTTAACGTATGGACTTTTTTTTAGCTTACGGCCGATTAGTTAGGTTTATTTTCAGAGTTATAAATACCAGTTTGACCGTTTTTGTAGTTGGCTTTGACATACCTGGTATCGGGGACGGTCACGCTTTTCCCATCAATTTGGATCGCCCTCTTCTGAACACCATCCTCCTCAACGTGTAAGAATGTTGCCCCTACTTCATTTCTTTGCTTGAGTGCGGGCAACGGCATGTCCAGCGAAAATATGTAGTTCGAATCCGGCTTTGACTGAAAATAAAGAACATTTCCGCATTGCTATACTTCGGCGCTGTTGAAAAACCTATTTAGACTCCTTCAAGCTGTTTTTACTGTTGCATTAATACTTTTCACGTTATTTACTTAATTGCACGTGGTGCGAGAATTTTTCCAAAATTCTTGCACCAGGTGAAAGACGTTCCCATTTTTGTTTTAAAGTTTATCATTTTTCGGCACTTGAATTCATGTTGGCTGACTTGTTGGTGGCTATCATTTGCAATCTTGATAAAAATTTGAGGCGGCTTAAAAGAAACGAGTCGATGGTTTGTTTTTGCACTTATTAAGAAGACCGCATGAAAATATAGCTGGGCACTCTTGCTACCAGTGCGAGAATTGGAAATTTATTATAAACTTAATCGACGACAATTTGCTTTATCGACGACAAATTGCTTTGATTAATGGAGTCGATAAAAAGTGCTCCGTGCGATTTCCGTTTATGCGACCAGATCCTTCAAACTTTTTTCAAGTAGTTTTGAACAATTTTATTGCCGTTTTTTCTGAATGAATTTTTTTTTGCATGGAAAAATTGTAGATCTACAATACTCCAAAAGTGAGGAAAAAAATCAGTTTCATTTTCGTCACTGAACTAGTTTTATAAACAAACAAATACTTTCAAAATAAAAAACATTTTTTGCACCCCCAAAAAGTTCAAATTTTTGCATATAAGACAGTACAGACCCAGTCTTTTTACACAGAAGAATCAAAAATCTAAATGAAGTTTTCTGCGATGTCAGAATAGTTTTTTTAATTTTAGATAAATACATATACGCTTAAATATGTTCAAAAGGCCACGATTTTCAACCACTGAGTTTTTCAAAATAGAGGCATCATAGTATTACAAAAAATTTACTGTGTGAAGATTACTGTGTGAAATTCGTTAGTTTAACCACTTGGCATATCTCAATACGTAGTTTAATCTGCGATTTTGATGCAGTTTAAGGTATTAGTTTTCTTATTTGAGGGATTTTTCGGTTTTTGTGTTTCAGGGCAAAACACAAACGCATAAAGCAAAAAATTATCTATGGGAAAAATGGTAATTATGCAATTTCATTTATATAAAAAATGTTAGTCATGCTATTTTCATGCAATTAAGTTTTTTCTATGGAATTGTATGATCTGAATTTCTTTCCATAAATGTGGAACCTGATCCAAACTATATATTATTATTGGTTATAATTTAGATATTTTATCCCTATAAAATATTAAAAGTATATTTGTTTAAACGGCAAAAAATATCGACCACAAGATATATCACCAATCAAAACTTTTAGTTTTGTAAATCTAAGAAACAAACTTTTAGCCTTTCTAGGATGGCGCTACTACATCTTAGAAAGATTGACTATATTATACGCAATGTTTAATTTGATTGGATTTATTTTCTCTTTATTAAAAGGAATCTATAACACATGCGCAATACACACACAAGTAAATAGACAAGCAAGCGTAGCACGCAAACTTTTTGCAGGATTTTTTGGAATATTTTCCACATCCATAAATAAAATACTTTTAGATGCACAAATAAAAGAATAAAATACAAAAATATCAATTACACCAAACACATATGACAAATCACAAAATAATACAAATACATTGCCTACAGCACCACAACTACCAGCTTTGAATCGCAACCACCCACTATCATTAGTACCACAAAACTTCAGAATGTTAGCACTAGTAAATATCGCAAATTCCAGACCAAATCATATACAAAGTCCAATTCAACACATTGTTACACAACAATCTCAAAATGACAATACTATGAACAAATAATCGAACAACCACTTACAGCAAACTTTCAATCTCAGAATAATCATTTTTTTTAGCCCACGATGAGCCGACAAGTTGGATCCCTTCATCGTTCAATTTCCCATCCAGCCAATCTCCAAAATCCATTTCCCATCATTCCACTTTTTGCTTTCTCGCCACCTAGATCACCTCATATTAACACATCATCCGGCATGGATTCTGAGACTAACTCAGGTATCACAGTTTTCACTACAATTTACCAATTTAACAACTCAGACATCGAAACCCCAGACGAATTTGCAAACTCCGAACCCAGCCCATCAACATTTTCTCTACCCCCCTTCCGACCCATTCACTCCCAATCCCAAAATGATTCCCCCTCTACCATCTCTCATATCTCCCAAGTAACCCCGAAATACTTCCCCTTTACCAATGAATGTTCCAACAACAATTCCCCAGAAACCACAGAAATCTCACAAGAACTAAATAATCTAATAACATTACAACAACAAATACAACACCCTCACACCCTAACCATTCATCAATTATCATCCAATATTACATCATCATCAAACCGACCTACTCCTACATCCTCTTCAGATTATAGCCCTTCTTTAGTTCAATCCTCAACATCAGCCTATTCATCATCCACTACTAACTGTGCTTTTAGAACATTTAAGAGAAAATTCCCTAACCATACGTTTCCCTCGAAACCCGGAACAGCCCGTGATTATGTAAATCACCCCGATCACATCATCACTCCCGAATTTCTCTAAAATTCCCTACCCCTCTTCCCCCAATATACCATTAGTCATTCCAACCCCCACAGTGAACAACCCGACTATGTCGGTGAGCATGTTTTAACCCCCACACTTCAATGGACATCATTTTATTATTTTTCAAATCCACTTTGTATACCACTAATTAACACACCTCACGAAGTGGAAAAAAGTAAATTCGACATATTTAGACTAACTACAGCACTAACACCTAGACAATTCACGCATGTAGGATATAAAAAACTATTAAAGATTTTCACCGAACGCCGAGCTAATGATTACTCCATTGAATATTATGACCACAATATCATCAGACCTAACCAAGATCAATTTCTCGACGAAGATAAGTCCGCTAACCCACAACTAACAGAAAATTTATTCATCCGAACACCCTACATCTTTACACTAAGCTCATTAGATAACAAACACGATCACATCATCTCAGAAGCACTAATCGACATCCAAGCTTATGAATCACTGTACGATAAATTTGAAACTTTTTCACTAACCTTCCACTTCCTTACTCCAAAAGAACGAGATCTGCACTGTTCACACGACATCATGTTAAGAGCTAAACAAACGCACACTTACACATAATATAGATTCATTCAAACTCATTTTAATTTACACACACCATCACGACAACCCCATCATCGCTTTCAGTTTATTAATTCAAAGTACACATCACCGTTATTTTCTCAGTTTCACCTACTGTATTAAAAATACTAACTTCCAAGGCATCCTCAGAAATTACGACCCAATAACCCAAACGTATATATTTTGTCCACTCACCAAGACCTTTAACTTAGAAAAATCCCGACCCCTCATTGTCCCGCATGAATATATTCAACCTATAGAAATCCCTATATTAGAATTCATTCACAATACTAAATACAATCACAATATTTTTAACCTCATCCAGCACACCAATCACGAGTTTTACATTGGCACTGAAGAACTAAACACCATCAAAGCACTAGAATTGCTTTGGCCCTTGCTCGAAACTAAAAATATCATTCGTATATTAGCAAAATTACTAACCACATCAGATTCAATGCACGATATCTTCCCTCATGGCATCTTCCCCGTCAACTAGGAAAGTATTAATTAAACAAATTATAACTAATAATAAATTTTAAACAAACTAACCATTTCTTATTAAATGTTTTTTCTTTAGTCTTTACATCATCATCATCTACAAACAAGAAAACAAAATAAAAAATTTCGAACTCTATCAAAAATTATAAACGTTTATTAACAAACCGCAATAAATGATGCAGTAAAATTTCTTCTCCACAGTAGTTAAGTCATCTATAAATTCTTTTCCCCAATGTAGTAAACCTCAATACACTGAAAACAATTTTACTGCTTTGTGGGGATTGAAATTATTAATTTGAAATTTCCAGCAGTAAATTTATACATATGTTAGCAGTACTAACCTTTTCAAGAATCAATCGCACACAAATTCTATCCACACTCGCACAGTTCGCCCACGACAAATTATTTAAAATAATGATTTCAAGTTTTAACTTTCACTAACATCAACCCAAAACTAATTATAACAAGTTTCAAACTTTCTTTTAACCCGGGTGGAAAGGAATGATATAATAATCCCAACTAACCAACGCAGCCTACTACACACCATAAACCACAAACTAACAGCATGACTAAGAAAAAAACCCACGTTACACAAACCAGATTAAACCAGCTTAAAGAACCGATAATTTATTCTTTTGAAGACTATTGATAAGTCTAAAAAAGGAAGTATAAAACACCAAAAAATCGAAAGACAAACCAAAACCAAACAATTTGATTTTGGAGAAAAGGACACAACCAAAACAACAAAAGGAAAAACCAGTAACAAACATAACATAAAAGGTTACCACAAAACAGGACCCCACAAAAAACCAGCATGCAATCATACCCTCACTCCTGGCCTAACCCACCAGAAGAGGACGTCCTGAGCATGCTGAATAGCCGGCCTAACCCATCGTGCTAGAACCCACGCTTTGTGACACACTCTTTTGTGAGTAACTCTTTTAAAATAACTGAACTAAAATAAAAAGCTTTTGTGATAAAAATTAATAAAAAATCATAACTAAAAGAAGAACTAACTAAATATTTATTTATGTAAGTTATATATTGCAGTAATATAGACCATACGCAATCACGAAGATCAAACAGCTATGACGACCTCATCATACTCAACCTACAGAATGGCTGAACACAACCGATATGCCGCCCACAATCACAACTCAAAGGATTTGAAGTACGACCTGAGTCCGAAGCAAAGGACTTCATTGAAACAGACCAAAGACCACCTCGATGTTCAAGTATACGTACACATCCGAGTTACAAGGCATTCCCTCCAAACTCGAGCTTCACGCCATTCCCGATCCAGATCGAAACATAGTTCTCCACACCGATCAAGAACAGACAATCATAACA